ATCTGTCCCCTTCACTCGCATGACAGCCATACTCATATTTGTGTTTGAAGAGCGACTCTGATTAACGAAAAATAATATACGACACTGTCGATCTGTCATCATCTGACAATGAAAATATGAGAAATGCCTGTCCTCTTCTGTCAGCTTTGTAAAAGTGTCCCTGAATTTTTGATCCGACATCAAGTATAAAAAATATAGCCACAAGACTAAAACATTATACGAGTTAAGATCACTTAGTACACACCTATAAATTATAAAATTACATATATTTTGTTTACATTTTGCAAAAATCTCTCCATATAAGTAATATAAAGAGTAATAATTATATATGATTCTTTATTAATATTTATAATAATAATACATATGCATATAATTTTATATTTTATTTGTTTTTATAAATGTTTTTATTTTTTATTTCTTTACATATTTGTGTTATACACACACACATAATTATAATTAATTAATAGTAAATAATTACAATAAAGCTAATAAGTTGAAAGTATTAGTAAAACGGAAATAAAATGTAAAGCTAAATAGAAATATTAAAACTAATAAAAATGAAAATACACAATTACTAAAACTTAAATATTAAACCCCTCCCCACCCCCCAACCATTCCAATTTCCGTAGACGGGATTTATTTTAATGATATTCTAATGAGCCACTTTGTGACATCATAAAAACCCGGGAAAACAACGCTGCAGTCCAAACGAGCCGTTCGTTGTAGTTCTTGAAAAGGGATTTTTAAAAAACGAAATATATCCCTTTGGAGTGGACTTTGAGATTTGTAACTTTGTAGGACTTTTTTATGCCCAAACATACACACTACACACTGACTAAAATTCAAAAAGTGAAAAAGCATAATAGGACCCCTTTAAAATAAGGGTAAAATAAAATATAAATATTAAGGGGAAAACTTTAGTAAAAGGGGAAAATTTGTAAAACTGAAATAAAAATAAAGCTAAATATAAATATTTTTAAAAAACTAATACAAATTTAGTAAAACAGACTATTGACAATAATGTGTCTAAAATTTAACAAACTATTAACGTCTTGTTTTTTTAACTGTTGTCTAAAAATTAGGGCTGCAATACGATTAATCGCGATTAATCGCATTCAAAATAAAAGTTTGTTTACATACTATATGTGTATGTACTGTGTATATTTATTACGTATATATAAATGCACACATACATGTGTTAATATGTTAATTTATATATGAAATATTTATATTTATATACAATATAAATTATATATAACTATAAGTATATATACATACAAATATTTTTTCAAATATATACATACAGTATATGTGTGTGTATTTATATATACGTAATAAATATACACAGTACACACACATACAGTATGTAAACAAACTTTTATTTTGAATGCGATTAATCGCGATTAATCGTTTTGCAGCCCTAATAAAATGTATTTGGGAAAACAGCACTTGCTCGTGTGAGATAAACTGTATCTGTGCTAAACTGTATCTTATATAAATATGAGACGAAAAACCCATACAGGGTAATTTTTTGCCTCATCTTGAATTTTAGGCTCATATAACTGCATTCTGTAGGCTCCATCACACAGTCAGTGGTCCTGCATCATGTTCATCAACCACTGCATTCATGTAAGATGAACCTATTACTATTAATGCATCTATTTTATGTTTATGGCACGCAACATGTCTATCAATTATTCATCAGTTACAATCGGTCGGTCTGGCACTGGTCAGTTACCATCAGAATATAAACCAGTTCTGCTTTGATTTTACGGCAATGACGGCTCTGATGTTATTTAACAAGAGTTCCGCTGCTTAATATTTCATGATTTTTGTTCCTCTTAGAAAGCAGAATAACATCAGCTCGGCCTTGATCTGTCCCCTTCACTCGCATGACAGCCATACTCATATTTGTGTTTGAAGAGCGACTCTGATTAACGAAAAATAATATACGACACTGTCGATCTGTCATCATCTGACAATGAAAATATGAGAAATGCCTGTCCTCTTCTGTCAGCTTTGTAAAAGTGTCCCTGAATTTTTGATCCGACATCAAGTATAAAAAATATAGCCACAAGACTAAAACATTATACGAGTTAAGATCACTTAGTACACACCTATAAATTATAAAATTACATATATTTTGTTTACATTTTGCAAAAATCTCTCCATATAAGTAATATAAAGAGTAATAATTATATATGATTCTTTATTAATATTTATAATAATAATACATATGCATATAATTTTATATTTTATTTGTTTTTATAAATGTTTTTATTTTTTATTTCTTTACATATTTGTGTTATACACACACACATAATTATAATTAATTAATAGTAAATAATTACAATAAAGCTAATAAGTTGAAAGTATTAGTAAAACGGAAATAAAATGTAAAGCTAAATAGAAATATTAAAACTAATAAAAATGAAAATACACAATTACTAAAACTTAAATATTAAAATAAACTAAAATACAAAAATTATATATATATATATATATATATATATAATTTTTGTATTTTAGTTTATATATATAAAATTAAAAAATAGAAAATACAATGACTAAAATACAAACATTTTACAATGAAATGCTAATTAAATATTAATTATAATGTACAAATAATAATAATTATTATATATGGATAGATATATATAGGTTATTAATGATGATTGTTATTATTATTATTATTACATATTTATTTTTTTGTTATTTGTTCTTATTATTTCTTGTCATTTTTATTTCTTACGTGTGTGTCACAGAAATGGCAACCCAACGCAGTACCAAAACTGCAAACTATTTTCCTTAAATGTATTTATATAAAAGATGAATCTTACGGCTGTAATCAAACCTGTGTGAACCGCTGTCACCTGAAACTCGTCCTGATTCAGCAAAGAGAAGCGTCTCACTTGCCTCTTCTCCCAGAAGCGTGTCAGTGCTTAAAATAAGCGGCAGCAGAAGTGAGCTGTGATCTGGCTGGCCGAGTGTCAGAGCCGCAGGTGAAGTAAAGCTGCTCTAAACATCTCAGCATCTCAGTTTATTTCACAGATCTGAAGCTACTTTAAGGAGGTGATACGTAAAGTCTGTGAGGCTTTAAAAAGTGTTGCACTTTTAGAGCAAACAGTCGCAGAGTAATGTGAATGCCGAATTTAGCAGATCATCTCAGTGATGTTAATTGAGCTCGAGTTTGTTGCAGCGGTGTTGTGTTTGATATTCATATAAGACAATCAGTGTGATGTGTTACTTTAATATTACTTATATTCTATAGTATTTATTCATATTTTGAATTATCTTTAATTTTTCTATTTAAAGTTTTATTAATTGTGATTTGTCCTTTGTATTATTTCTCCATTTCTTTATTTATTTTTGTAAATTTCTGTTTAGTTTTAATTTGTTTTATTTCATTTTTAGTAATTGTAGCAGTTTAACTTAGTATTTTAGGTTTTCCTCTAATATTCCTTTCAACTTTATTTCAATTATTTGTTTTAAATACAAAAAAATATCAATATATATATATATATATATATATATATATATATGCATATATATATATATATATTAGATCTAGGTTGAAATACTAAAATGTCTAATGTTGCCAATTTTATTTTTATATTTCCTTTTATTTTTCATTTGAGTAATTTTGTTTCATGGTTCATATTTATTTATTTGTATTTTTATAAAATTATATTATTTATAACATATTTATTTATTTATTATTTCAGCTAATTGCCAGATTTTCAAAAGTTACTTTAAGTAATTAATTTTTTTTAAATTTAGTTTTAAATCACGTTAATAACCCTGCTGTGAGTACAAAGAATCGCAATTGGCAAGAGATGCATTTCATCTTCTTTTGATTACAATCTCTTGTCTTTTGCTTAAATTGTACATTGTTTTATGGAACAGTGTGTAATTATTTGTTGATTTATTATTTACAGCCAGAGAAAACCTCTCCTATTTATATCTCTATGTTTCTCTGTTAAACGGGTCATATGATGCTATTTTAAAGATCATTATTTTGTGTATTTGGTGCAACAGAATGTTGACATGCTTTAATGTTCAAAAAACACATTATTTTTCAAATACTGTACATTATTGTAGGTCCTCTATGCCCCGCTTCTCTCAAACACTTCGTTTTCAACAAAGCCCCCTCCTTTGACAAGCGCAGTCTGCTCTGATTGGCCAGCTGACCCAGCGCATTGTGATTGGCCGAACACCGCAAGCACTCGTCGGAAATGTAACACCCCTTACCATAATCGCTTCAGCTTTCAAAGTAAATATCAAGACTATTAATAATGTGGTTAGTTTTACCATCAGTTCAAGCCTGAAAGGGCAACAGAGTTGCGTGACAGACACAGTGATGATGCAGTACACAAGCCGCGGTTAAGATAGCTGACGTGCTATGATTCCTGACAGACAGTTCACTCTCCTGTGATGTGACCCTGTTCCCCTCACACACACACACACACACACACACACACACAACGCGTTACTCTGCGCTGCGCAAAACTCCGCATTTGAACAGTCAATAGCAAATACTTAAACTAATAACAAAACATACTTACAGTCGCTGATTCAGAAGTGCCAGATTGTCATAGCAAAGTCGGAATTGACCCTTTAAAAAAAAAATTTAATAAAAAAAAAAAAAAGCCTTTGTGCACAGCCAGCCTTGTACTCTTCTAGGTAAAAAAAACCCTGCTGCTTACTGCGTACTGGACAGTATATGCTATATAACCTTTGTTTAAAAATAGTACGTGAAATTGTATATGCAGTAAATGTTTCAAACAGCTACATTGTTATTTCATGACCTGCATGTTAATGAATGGTGATTGAATATTTTCTAATGTCAGTTTCTGATATTTAAAGTATCCAAACTTATGTAGTTTTATCAAGCCGTCTTGATCCCTGTGTGTGTGTATGTGTTTGTTTGTCTGTGTCTGTGTCTGTGTCTGTGTCTGTGTCTGTGTCTGTGTCTGTGTCTGTGTCTGTGTGTGTTTCAGGCCGGGGTTTGTGGGCTGATTTCCACCCTCTGGTGTCTCTGGGCAGTCTGCTGGACGATCAGCACTGGCATCACGTCAGCGTGGAGCGAGTTCGAGGACTCGTGAACTTCACCGTGGACAAAAACACCCAGCAGTTCCAGCTGCTCGAGTCCTGGAGTCACTCTGAGATAAACGAGGTGAGCCGCTAACGACTTCCAGCTCAATTAGTCCAGTAAAGCATTTCAAACATGTGAATTATACAAACAACATAAATCAGCTAGAATGGAAATGTCTGTGTGTAATTAGATTTCACTTTCTGAGTCTTTCACTTTGTTGTGACACACTGTTCATTTATATTGATATCAACACTTACATTACAGTAAACTAGAAAAGCCTCACTATACAAGCCAAGTTCATTTATATAGAACATATATATATATATATATATTCAACTTGACTAACTATATACAGGCAGGGTTACTAAATGATTGTCTCCCATGTTAACATGTTAACTAGTAAATATAATTTAAAAAAATGATATTTAATAATAATATTCGTAAGACTTTAAAAAAAAAATACAGTAGTCAACATTTGAAGTGGATAAATAAAGTTCATCAAAGTATTGAAGAACAGGTATTGTTTTGGTTTTAGGACAACATTGATGAAAGGTTTTGATCCACTTCAAATGTTGACTACTGTATGTCATTAATAATAAAAATTAACAATATAAATTTAATTTCAATATTATTTATGTATATTAAAATTAAATGTATATTTATTAATTTTGTTAATTTGTAGAACTTTACACAGTCATGGTTACTAGTTGATTTTCTGTCTCACACTAGTTAACCAATAAATTATTAATAAATTATTTTTAACTAATATAATTTAATAAGTTATAATTTATTAATATAATTTCAATTAATAAATTTATATAATTTAGTATATATATATATATATATATATCATAAAGTGGTAATGAATAATAATAATCATATTTATATGTATTTTTTCACTGTATTGTAATTTTTATAATATGTTTTTTAAAAACATTCAGTTCAAAGTTGACTAAATAAGCTTTCCATTGATGTATGGTTTGTGAGGATCGGACAATATTTGGCTGAGATACAACTATTTGAAAATCTGGAATCTGAGGGTGCAAAAAAATCTAAATATTGAGAAAATCATCTTTAAAGTTGTCCAAATGAAGTTCTTAGCAATGCATATTACTAATCAAAAATTACGTTTTGATATATTTACGGTAGGAAATTCACAAAATATCTTCATGGAACATGATCTTTACTTAATATCCTAATGATTTTTGGCATAAAAGAAAAATGTATAATTTTGACCCATACAATGTATTGTTGGCTATTGCTACAAGTATCCCCCAGCGACTTAACACTGCTTTTGTGCTGTGCTGTGCTTCTGTGCTGCAGGGTCACTTATTACAATTGACAGTATTTTATCGCCTCACTGCATGTCATTAGTGTAAAGGTAGTTTTTGAAAAATGAGTTATGAGTTAAAAATGATCTTCCGTGCTAATCGACAGTCTGTCAATGGAGTTTAGCTTATTAATTTCATATCACTCCGTTAATATGTGTGATTTCTGACATGAATCTGTCGTTCTTTCACAAGATCAGTTTCGGTGGAACGTCAGCGCCTGGACTCCAGAAATCCCACTCCAGAAGAAACTTCCACGGTTGCTTGGAAAACGTGCTTTACAACGACATCAGCGTGATCGAGCGAGCCGAAGAGCAGCAGGTCTTCATCACAGTAAGTGTGTGAACACAGTCACGTCTGCAGCTGCTTTATTTGGCCTGTTAGCGACTGTCAATTGTTGGCTGCCTCATTTTTCCATAATGAGAGCTTTGTGTTTCCGTGACCCTTACCATGTTCTCCTCCATTATACAGGGTTTCTCCTTTTTTTACAACCATTGTCTTGGGATTTTGGGGGTTAAACCAATTACCATCCCTTTAATTAATTGTCGTAATGGCTGTGACATTGGTTTCAAGATAATAGGCAGGAGAGCAAATGCATAATTTATAAAGCAGACGTTCTTCACGATCACAAATGCAGCTTGCGTGAGAAACGCTCTTGGTCTTACTGCAGTATTTGTGTCTCTCGCAGGGGAACGTCAGCTTCACATGCACCGAATCCATAGACGTGCCGGTGACCTTCGCCAGTCCTGGAAGTTACCTCGCTTTGCCGTGGGTCTCCGGTGGAGAAAGCGCGTCGGTCGCTCTGCAGTTCAGGACCTGGAACAGAGCGGGTCTGCTGATGACCTTTGACCTGCAGCATAACGCGGGAACGCTGTGGCTCTATCTGAGCGAGGGCAGAGCGCGACTGCAGATCCATAAGACCGGCCGGATCGTGACGGACATCACCGCAGGTTCAGCTCATGCATTGTGGGATATATATACCATAGTTTCAGTTTATTTGACAGTAAAAGCAGAATCATCTCTCTTGTGTGTGAAGGGTAGAGCAAAGTCAACATCAGTGGCACAGTGTATGAAAATTTACATCACAAAGGAACTTTCTAGCTAAAAATAGTTTTATTGATTAAGTTTAAGGCAGAAATCTGTTCTTACGGTTTATGTAAAAATGATCTCCCTAATGCCTGTTATTTTGCCTGATCCATATGCTTGCGCTCTCTCTCCACAGGTGCCAGTTTAAATGACGGTCAGTGGCACTCGCTGGAGCTGGCTGTCCGTCGGGGGCGTCTCGCAGTCACCCTGGACAAAACCGACAGCTCTACAGCATCCACTTCCTTCCCTGTCGCGCCTGACAGCCAGCTATTCTTAGGTGGTAAGAGCAACCTTTAGCCATCCATCGCCGTCTGCTAACACAAAGCAACACGCTAGCTCCGAGTAATTTCCCTCTACACGAACCCAGTCCTTCACGTTAATCAATCCGTCGTGTCAGTCAACGCACAGCTTCCGCTGAGAAAAGCACATTGGTTTAGCTTTCCAGCGGTTTGGGGCTGAAACTCTCAGAGGCTTAATAGCCTTCAGCTCAGTAACTGGAGAGAGAGAGAGAGTAACGCCGTCTGAATGCACTGCTGCAGTGTGTCTGCACTGAGCTGCAGTAAAGCATGCATCAGATCGTCATGCATGTTATGAGACGGTTGTCCACATATAAGCTTTTGACATGACAGTATGTGACATTTTTGCAGGTAAATTTCGACATGTGATTTGTAAATATTTGTTGAGCGCAGTCCAAATCATTTTTGCAGTTAGCATTATTAGTGTTAAGTAAAACAGTACATGAGTACAAACATTTTTTTTATAAAAAAAATAAATAACCGAACATACCTAAAACATATCAAATCGATAACTGAAATAAACTGTAAATAGCTTATTTCCAATGGTAACATTGATCATTTTCGTTTAGTTTAACTTGAAATACGGTACTTATAAACTTGAACTGAAATGAAATAAACAAAGTAAAAAATTAAAGTTATTTTATTTCAGATAAATAAAATAAATACAAAATAATAAAAACTATAGACATATAAAAATAACTTTTCTGAGCACAATCGAAATCAATCAGAAATGTTTGCGGTCAACATTATTATTAACTCAAATAATAAAAATTGTTGTTTAAAAAAAATAAACGTTAACTGAAATATTTATAAACTATAAAAAAAACCTTAAAAGCATTGTATTTTAGCAAGTTGCCATAGCAACATATATGATTTTCTTTCAATTGAAACTATAAAAAATTAAGCTAATTTATTTCAGCTAAATAAATACAAATTAATAAAAAAAGATGTAGACATATACTGTATAAAACATTGTATTTTTATTGAGCGCAATGCAAATTATTTTTGCAGTTAACTAAAACTAAAAAAACAATAAAATAAACATTTTTGTTACTTATAAATGTTAACTGAAAAATAAACTATAAAAAACTCAATCCTGTTTTATTTAACATTTCTCATTTCCATTTAGTTCAACTTGATGTACTAAAATAAGGAAAAATGTAAAAGTGTATAAAATTGTATAATTTTTTTCCCCAAAATGCAATAAATCCATGACATGTTTTTTTGTTTTTTTTCAAAATGCAATAAATCCATTGAATCAGTATAAAACTTATTTTTCATATTGAAACTGTTGAAAATACACAACGTAGTAAGTTAATCCACGTATGACAGCCTCTGAACTTGGTCAATACTAATCTTATATGCAGGCACTGGACTAAAAATACATTCAATCAGTCATCGCCCAAAATTAATTCAGCGGGTCATCTTGTGAATGCTATAAATTAATTACAACAATAAAAGAAAATTTCATCATGAACATACTTGAACAAAAATATCACATTAAACCACAGAAATTCCAAAATGACATTTCCCTTACATTCAACTTCCAAAAGTGCATTCATCTTTTTGATTTCTTTTTCACTTTTTGAGTGGGATTTCTTTTTTTACATTCATTTAGTTGACTAGTGCTATACGCTGTATTAACAAAAACATTAATGGCATAAATAAAAACACTTACACTGACAAGCTACGCAATATCGCGTTCATAATCAAATGCGACTCATCTGCGATTATGAACGCTATATTGCAGTGATCTACGGCTCTGTGTAGTAAATGAAAGCACGTAATGGAGATTTACTATTAATCACAGAACCGGCTTTACTGACGAGATGCGCATGACAATCACATGCCATTTATCGTGCAGCCCTAAGTTTGTTTATTGATCACAAAGTACAAAGTAGATGAGGAAAACTAGGATGCCGGGTGTATTCAGAGCGCCGCCATTACTGTCTAGAGTGCATGGAATGGTGCGCTGTGATTGGTTGTTACTGTTTACAGTGCGTGGAGTGGTGTGCTGTGATTGGTTGAGCGGATATATCGCATTCTGCAGAGAAGGGAGACTGGCGTTTGTCGCGGTTTGGAAAAAAAGGGAGAAATCATGACAGAATAACTCGGCGGATATCACATTTTGCGTAAAATTAAAAATTTACTTTTCAATACCGACCAGATACATTTTTAAAATGGCATTTATCGCGTTTTGGAACCAAACTCTTCATATATATTATATATATATTCAAATTAATTTCAGCAAATAAATAACTAAAACTACGTACTTTACTAAAACTAAACATTAACTAAAATGAAAATAGAAAAATTTGAAACTGATTAAAAAATGTATAAAAACTCTACTACTACATGAATGATACTTAAATAACACTGCAATAGCTTAAACGTGTTATTTTGTGTGTATTTGTGATTTTTGTCTGCAGGATGTCCGGACACAGAAGACGGCAGCGGCTGCAGAAACCCGTTCAGTGTTTTCCAAGGATGCATGCGTCTCATCCGGACGGACGGCACTTTAGTGGATCTCATCCGAGTGCAGCAGATGTTGTTTGGGAATTTTAGCGATCTGCAGATGGACATGTGTGGGATCGTCGATAGGTAAGCAATTACGCTTTTATGTGAACTCGCAAAACGTTCCGTTTTCCATTTTCATCCTCGCTAAATATATGTGTTCAGCTTGATTATGTAAATACAGAGATTAATTAGCCAGAGAAATGGCACTGAATACTGATTCGCTAAAAGACGCAGACGATGAGCCTCAGGGAGACTCTGCCCTCGTTTAAATATTTATCCATCTGATCAATCGCAATGACTCACTTTTTGCTTTGTTATAAATGCAACTTTTGTTCACAGTTTAGTACTGTTCTTGCAGCACAAGGTTTCTGGAATTTCTGATTATTTGTTGTTTAAATGTTTTTTGCATCACCGTTTGTGACATGAATGATATCTCAAATTGTGCAGCTTGTTAAGGAGAGTTGTTAAATTTTAAACTTTTGCTAAATAATTAATTTAATTTTAAATTATGCAAAAAAATATATATATTATTTTAAATGTTAAGATTAATTTCAAATCATTAAAAAATATATTAATTATTTTTTATTTTATTAATTTTAAAATAATTGTATGAATTAAAAAATACTAGGTACTTTTTAAAGCAGAAGTGTGTAATTTCTGTGGTACTAACCATGCTTAGGCTTGCACGATAAATCTGTATCATCAGCCAATATTAGAGATTTATTTATTTTTAAGTAGCATTATGCAGTGATAATCTAAGTGTAAAAATAGAGTAAATTAACATGAACAATTAAATATCTAGTTCCTAGATCTAGTTCCATTATTGGATATTTAATTTAATATTTTTTTTATAATTAATTAAATAATTTAATAAATAATTTTAATTTAATAATTACATTCAATATTTAATTATTTAATTGCATGCTTATTTCTCCTATTTTTACACTTAGATCACCTTTTTTATTATGAAAAACTCACTAAAAGTTAACTTTTTTAACTTTAATAATTGATTAACTGGTAAATGTAATTATTTTAACAATGTAAACAACATAATTATTTTAACATTTAAACAAATGTATATTTAACAAATATAAGAATGATTTTTTTTTGTGCATTATAATTTATGCATTGCATTTAAAAAGAGTGTTTTGTTTTTATTTATTCAGACAAAATCTTTTAGAATTTAGTTTTTAATTAATCAATTTTTTAAGTATAAAGACTGAAAATATATTGTCTTTTAAAACATATGCAAATTAAATTGCATTTTAAGGTAACTTTTAAATATGTACACAATGGTAATTCAACGTGCTTTGTATAAAACATTTTGAAAATAATCAAAACATTAATAAAAATGAATTACAAGTTTTACATTTATTAAAAACAAATAGGAATAATAGAGAATAATGCATACATAATATAGTACAAAGCAAAAATTACGTAGACATTTTATGTGAATCTGACATAGCTTGTACTGTTTTTGCAGTCATAGTTCAACAATATTGTTTTTTCAATGGAAATGAGATGAACTTGCTGACATGAAATGCCTTTTATAGCCTATAACTGTATATTTTCCATTGACAAGGCTGTCTGTAGATTTTGGCTGTTTTTGTGCTGTTCTACCAAGTCGACGTTGTTGTTATCAAATATTGGCCTGGCTAGTATGTAACTAGTATGCAGTATGTTTACTGTACACATTATGCAGTCTCTCTAGACTGCCAAAGATTAGATATTTTCACACAAAACTGGATTAAAATCACAAAATGTCTTTATTCACTGGCCGTCGCTGACTCTTTTATCGTTGCACAAGGTTTCACATGCTGTTTGAATGAATAGTAGGCTGGTTTTAGTATATACTGCAGGACTGACTGTGATGGTGTTTCTGTCCTGTTGACCTCTGTTCGTTTCATGTCAGTGAATGTTTGCTTCATTTGGCTTGATGCAGAAATGGCTTTCTTTTGCTTTGAGACTGCAGTGAATCTCCTGAAGACGAGGCTGTTTTTGTGACAGAGCAATTTCTTTCTTCTGTGTGTTTGATGGGCACTAAATGCGCCGCTGTGACCGAGCCGTTCAGAGTGAAGGGGAAGCCCGAGGCGCACACACTCGCGTCTCAAGTGAATATTGTTTTTGACTCGATGCAGATGTAGATGCGTTGTCTCTGAAAGCTGCGTCGCCTCTGGGTTCTCGTTTACGTTCTGAAAGGTCCCGCTTTCGTCTGTCATACTGAAGACTTCTGGGATTGCTGTTTGTTTAAACGGTTTATTGTGTTTTTAGTGATGTTTGCAAAGCTATTGCAGCATAGAGTTAGCGATCATTCTGCATAATTTGTGGCATGAATATCTTAAATTCCATAGCTTGTTAAGGAGAATTGTTCTTTTACGTATCTTTTAAATTTTTTAATTAATTAAAAATATTACACATTATTTTTAATTTGAAAAATATTTTTTTGTATTTGTATTTTTTAAACTAATTTAAAAATATTACATTTTTATTTTCTATTTAATACACAAGTTTCACAATTTGAGTTGAATTACTGAAATAAATGAACTTTTCCATGACATTCTAATTTATTGAGATGCACCTGTAGTTTTAAAATATTAAAATATTTGTTCATTTATATATTATTTATATATTACACTTAGATCACCTTTGTTATTGTGAAAACACAAATGTAATTTTTTTAACATGTAAACAAATGTACATTTAACAATTCTCAGAATAAATATACATTTTTCATACTCTACACTGTAAAAAAAATAAAATTAAGTAAAAAGTAAATAAAATATTAGAATATTATTTATAATAAATTATATTTTTTTTCTAAATTTCAAAATTAAATTAGTTGTGAAATTTCTGCCAGTTTTTCAGTGCATCAAAATGTTTTTCAAATGTATAATGTTACATTTTAAAAGACTGATTTTTGTTTTATAGTGTTTTAAAAAAATTATCGTGTGGAATTTTATTGTAATTTTACTGTTTGTTTTTGTCATTTTTAGTAGTGTGTTTTTTATTTAATTTTTAGGTTTTATACAGTTATATTTTTAGGGTTGGGAATCGAAAATCGATTCTGACACCAGAATCGGATTCTTAAGGTCGGGAATCGGATACTTGTCAAATTTAAATTGATTCCGCCTATCGATTCCTATGCGCTTTTTTTTTTTCTTCATCTGTGAGGACCGGACCTAGCGATCTGCCAGGACCTTGCTCGCTAATCTAAGCGCTCCAAAGTTTGGCTACATTTGCGATCAGAAGCCTAAAAAGCTAAGTATAATATCTGTGATAGCTAAACAGGTTGCAAGAGAGGTGTTCTAACGGGGCTGATGAGACGTGAGACATGTGGATCATCTGCAAGCTAGCGATCTGCCAGGACCTTGCTCGCGGCAGGGTCAAACAATGGCAAACAGGTATATGGCGGGCAAAACACAAGAATAGTCCTAGGGCTAGCGTAGGTCACCGATCGGCAGACAGAATCACAGGGGCGAGACGAGAGGGAAAAAAAACAGGAAAACAGGCAAAGATCAAAAACCGCAAAAACAGGCAAGGCAAGGCAAGGCAAAACAAGGAAAACACGGAGACTCGGAAAGGGGTACAGGCTAAACAATACTCAGCAGAGAAATGTGGTTAGAGTGGGTGTAATATAGTGAGTGAGGTGATTAGAAACACCTGTGTGCAATCAGAGCAATCAGGGCGGTGTGCAAATTGTGCAAAGAATGATGGGAAATGTAGTCCGGGGTGCTATGCAACAGTTTGTGTAGTGCGAGAGTCAATGTAATGGAAAGGGTGACATCTGGTGGTGAATAAACGGAAGTCCATGGACTGAATTCGTGACAGGTGTCACCACCAACATGACAAAGCACTTTAATTGAATAGATCGTTAAAGATCGTGAACACGATTCAAACACCAACGTGATTTTATTCCTAAATTACAATGATTCGTCCGTTTCATTCCTCAAACTTTTACGTGTGTCATCAATGTTGTGATCACGTGGTTCGTCCGTGCAGCGTACGATCACATCAGTGTGATCTGAACATTTAAATCTGCGTCCGCTCTGCTATTGACCTAAAGAGAGCAGCTGTCTGTCATGAATGAAACAGCTTCAGTCTTTTCAACCACACAGTATCATTATTTCTGTGTTACAAACATTCAAATCACAGAAGTACTGGGATAAAAGTTTATAGTTCAGATATAAACCGTGTGTATGATCTGTATGGTAGCAATTAAAATAGAGTAAATCACCTTTTGAAAGTAATTTGACACTTCAAATGAAGATTTATCGATGATTACATTGTTACGCCAGTAGGTGGCGAAAAGGGGCTGTTCAAATGTATTTGTCTTTGAATCATACAAGAGATTCGTTCAAGAATGCTGATTCATCCAGTAATGAAACAAGTACATCTTGAGTGAGTCATTGAATCATTCATTCATAAATTGCATGTGATCTTGTTTAGTTGTCTAATGCTTTTTCTTCAGAATCATGAGAGAACCGCAACTTCCATTGGGAAAAAAACTCAATTTGTCCAGAATGATGCAGTTCTATTTTGCACACAAACAGCTCTTAAAGAATCCAGTTTTTATGTAGCCTGTTGATTTTTGTTCATGGTGTTCAGCTCCAATAAATGGTTTGCAAAAAAGAGACACAGGATAAATGTTTGATATCATTATTTAATCACACTGGAATCGAAAAGAATCGAAATCGGAATTGATCAAATTCAAACGATGCCCAACCCTAGTTATTTTAGTACATCAAGTGAAAATAAATTTAAATAAAATATGTTGCAACTGAATTTTGAAAATGTATTTTGAATTTTGTAAAGTACATTTTTATTTCATTTCAATTAACACAATTCTTTAGTAGTAATTATCGCTCTTGATGTGAACAGGATGCTACGTGTGTTCTTTAACGCTGTGAAAACAGCATGCGTAAGTCACGCAGACACTTAAGCTAATGCAGTTTAGCACGTCAAGTGCTGGCGTCGCTTTCACAATGGTCCGGCGGCTTGAATGGAGCTCTCAGCTCTCATTAGTGCACACAGTATTATTGAGTCCGCAGGCATGAGGTGAGGGCAGACCGCGGGTGACGTTCCTCTCACTCCATGCAGAAACAGCAGCTCCACTGCGAGGGTTATTACCTCTGTTAAAGGCCTGTAGGTTGAGCTCAAATAACATTGCTGCCCATAACTAAGAAATATGGGATGGCAGCGGCTCTCATTGGTTTTACATGTGCCCCATGTGAACCCACAGGCCCTGTGCAAAATGAGTGTGGACCAGAGCGAAGCTGAGCGCTTTTATTAACCCCACATCAAAGATAATATGAGGGAAGCAGAGAGCTGATGTGTGCTGCTGTCGTTTGGAAGACTAAAGTTGAGCTTGTAATGATTTCTTGTACAAAAAGACCAATACATGTGTTTACTCTCATGCTACTCTTACTATTTCAGTAGTATATAGTATGAACACTGTGAGCAGTATGCACATTCATTTGTATGCATTGATACTGTATGCAATGCACTAGACTTGACCTGCCATCTCTAGTATGATGAATGATTAATAAAATTAAATAAAAACATCTGAATTATTAATTAGCATTTGAAGCCTTTTGAATTTACTAGTTCCCCTTTGGGAACTCGAGCTGCGTCGGAAAACGCTAGGGGAACACCTTCAGCGATACCAAGCTCTGAATCATATGTGTAATCAGTCGAACGATGGGCGAGACGTCCGCGGCAGGTGATGTCATGGTCAGGAAGCTTTAAAAGCACGTGAGGTGCCGCCGGCGCTAGCTTTCTGTCAGTCAGCGAAGCTCTCTGTGTGTGTCGGTCACAATTTATGTTCTGTGAGTCTTATTTATTGTTGTCTGTCCAAAAAAGTGCACAAGCATCCAATATAAGCTCCAGCAGAGAAAGAAAAGAAATGTCTAAGCAAAAGACAAAAAAGGGCGAAAGTAGATCGCGTTACAGACTGTGTGTTCCTCCCTGCCCACGCTACATCACGAGCGGGGATACACACAGTTTGTGCGTGGTCTGCTTGGGAGCGGAGCACGCGGCGTCGGCTCTCGAGAGGGCTGACTGTCCGCATTGTGAGCAGTTGCCACTGCGTTTGCTTCGCTCCCGGAAGGCTCTCTTTGAGGAGGGAGCCTTCACCAGCATTCCTCACGGTGCTGGCCCCACTTCCACCTTGGCGGAGTGGCAGCTGCACTCGTGGGGTTCGCAGCTGGATCTGGTGGAGGGAATGGAGACGGGCGAGTCCCTATCTTCTTCCTCACCTGCCAGATCCGCTGCCCGCTCGCTGGGATCGGAAGCCCGTTCTGCGGCTACTTTCCCCCGGAGAGTGGGCTCGGCCCTTCTCCTATCTTCCTCCGAGGAGGTTGATATGGAGAGCGTTGAAGATTCGCCCCCTCAATCCCCACAATATGAGGAGCTAATGGAGGTAGTTACTCGTGCGGTTGCCAAGTTGAACATCGAATGGCCCGCAGAGAAACAGACTGAGCCGCAGAGAAGCAAACTCGATGAACGCTTTCTGCGGGCCAGGTCGCTACCTCCGCGCCGGAGCCTGCTGTTTCTTCCCGATCTCCACACCGAGGTGTCAAGATCGTGGAAGAAACCATTCTCAGCCCGCTTATTCGTCCCTGCCTCTGATTATTATGGAAATGTGGCGGGGTTGAGGGAAGGCGGTGACAGAGCGATGCCCCGG